ACCATAATTAATATCTCCAGAAACTTGGATATTCCATTATTTACCTCTGATTTTTCAAAAAGCTTTAAGGTGCAAAGCCCATTTAAAAACAATATAAAATAGTAGAGTTAAGCAGAAAACCAGAATATAGACCATAAGTGTAACTACAACTTGGGGTAGATTAATTGTTATAGTTGATACTGATCTGAATTTACTGGCAGTAAGAACAAAACAAAATGAAATTCTGGTTCCGAGATTTATTATGTGTGGCAGAAGAATGCCTAAGACATCGTTTTTCTTTTTAGGGAATTGTTGCTAGCGTTGACCTTGAAGATTTTTTTCCTCATGAATTCTTGTTTGGAAGATAATTACTAATGATTAATAGACATTATCACTGGGGTTTTATAATAAACAAAAGCACTTGTTAGTGTATAGACTTTGTTAATAGCTGAAGCCTAAACCCTGAATCAATGAAGATATTTTCAGACTGAATAATATTACTGAATTAGTTTGCTTATCTTTTATTCAGCAACCTGCATAGTGTTAACTATTTGCCATATACTGTGCTAGACATTGGGTTTAATGGAAGAAATTGTCCTTGAAGTACTTAGTCCAGTGGGGAATTTAGGTGGGCAAACAGGTTTACTGTGCAAGTTGCTATAATGGAGTCAAGTATATCATTCCACTGGAGCCCGAGAGGGTATGTCTTCTAGAAATAGTTGGAGGGTACGCTTAACGACTGAGCCACCCAGGCGCCCCTGGAGGAGGGTTCTTATGATACGTGATATTTGAGCTGATTCTTAAGTTTGCCTGGTTGAAAGGAAGGAAAGAAACAAGAATGCTCTTGGATGCTCTAATTTATTTTAGGTAGGAACTTGTATAGTCTAGAAATAAATCACTAACATCCACTAAACTTTTCAACTCAAATATCCTATGTCTTCAGTGGATGTTTGGCATGCACTTGAGTGCAGGAACTTCATGATTAAATTCTCTTCTATTCCTATAGTGCAAATATTCTGGCCATGGTCAAAGTCCAGTAAATACTGGATGGATTGATGGATGAAAAGAAGGAGAGGAGAGCCTTATGTCACAGATACCACAAAGAACAGATGAGGCAGAGTTGTCACTGTGTGAGAAAGACTTGGAGGTTGATTTACATTTCAGTCCAGTAGAAGAGCAGTCCATTTTTATAGGCAGCAACGGGACTTGGAGATAGAGCCAGTGTTTTCCTCAGAAAGTAGCATGGACTCTTAATGAATTACCTGCAGAGACCTTTAGCTAGGACTCCAGAGTCCTGCCCTATGTAATAAAAAAGGAATGAGTTCATTCTAAAAAAAGTTTTAAGGGCAGTTATTACGAGTTCATCACAACATCCCTGGACTCTAGCTAGCCTCTGTGGAGTGTCTGCTTTTAAATAGAGTCCCTGTAGAATTATTAAGATGTGCAATGTATGCCTGAGCAGCTCTGAGGCTTGACCTGTGGAAAGGGTTATTGCAGATGCATGGCGAATGATTGCCAAGTGCGGTATTGGCACTTGACGTGTTGACGCGGAGTATCTTCTTCAGACAATAACTAGTCAGCAAGCTCAAAAACACTTCTTAGGACTCTTCTTATTCAGAAGGATGCAGACCTTTTTCTCGGCCTACTTCGCTGTTCTTCAGGATGTCTCAGAGCTATCTCAGACCTGAAAAGAGTTCACTTGGAAACCTTATTCTTCACCACCTCCTCCATATCTTTCATTAAATGGATAACCATTTATCTAGTGACTCAGGGTAGAAGCATAGAAACATTCATCTGTGATGTCATCCCTCAGTCCTTAAATCTAACCTGACAATTTCCGTTAGTGTTTTTGACATCTATCCACCTTACTTCATTTGATGTGCCGTTGGCCTTGTCCAAGCCACCATCATTCATTTGAACCATTGGCCTCGCTGCTTCCACTTTGGCTGTTTCTAATTGGATCTCCATGTATACCCAGGGTAGTTTTTGTGAAATGTAACTTGATTTTGTCATCTCATGCTGACAAAGCCTTCAATGGCTTGCTGTTGTGCAGTAGGGAAAATAAAAGGTATTTACCCTGGCCTACATGGCTGGGCATGATATAACCTTGACTTAGCTCTCCAGCTTTATCTTTCCCTCCTTCCCTCTCTTTTACTTTCTCTCTGCCCACAATAACTGTCTTTCGGCTTTTTGCTGTGCCAAGCTCTTTCCTGACTTAGCATCTTTTTGCTGTTTCCTCTCCTCAGTACGCCGTTGTCCGCTCTTGACCTGGCTCAGTCCTTCTCATTGGTGTTCTTCTTAATTGTTAATTTTTCCTAAAGGGTCTTTCTAGATTGTCCATTCTAAAGTTGCCTTCTGATAATCTCTATCAAGACTTATAAGAGTTGAAGATGAGTTCTTTTCATTTGTATCTGCCCCACCTTGATATGATGCTGGGTTGGAACCATAGCTCTTTGGTTCCCCACTGTGCTGTATAGAACAGAGCTTGTGCAAGGCTGGTGCTTCACAAACATTTGTGGAATGAAAGACCACTTCTTAAAAATAAAATTTGGTCTAGATGGAAAGGCAATAATAGGGCCAGCATCTAACTCCTGTAGCAGTGTTTGCAAACTGATCCCACATGAGTGTCTAGTAGATACTCACAAAAAGTTAGTTACTGTCATTTTGCCTTGCTAAAAAAAAAAAAAAAAAGTGGCATTTTTAGTGTCTGTTTTGGGGAGCCTAACAGACTAAGTTTAGATTGTGTTCTCCTGGAAAGCTGTCGAACTTTGAGCCAGTTAACCAGGGTCTCCCAGGTCTCCTTTCCCATATATAAATTGAGGAAAATTACATCTCATGAGCTTGTTACAAAGATTTACATGAGATTATGTGAAGTGCTTCATACAGTGCTTGACACCTTGGAAGAGTTCAGGCATTCTTTTTTCTTATCCCCTTTATATCTCAAGAGATTAATAAGGATTCAGAAAAACTCATTTAACTTACCTCATAATCTCACTGTTTTTATTTAATGCATAATCACACCCAAGAGCATTAACATGGAGGTCAAAATCAGTTTAGGGGGAAATAATCCATCTCTAGGGTACAAATAAGCAATGATGGACTGGTTATTTAACGGTCAACAACATTGGTTTCCCTCAGAAAGAGACGTGGAATTCTCCTTTGCCTTATCCCAGGGGTGGTGGTTTAACATTGTAAAATTGTAATTACAGATAAATGCAAGTAGTTATTTTTCTTTCTAGTTCAAGAAAATATGCTGTGGATATAAGTGGTATGAAAACATTTCCCCCATTTTAGATATTTCTGGGGAGAAGCCTTGGCAATATCATTGAAAACTCTGGACTCCAAAGCTCTTCTGCTTATATTATCAGCTTTGGGGGCAATTAAGAATTTTAATTTTTTTTTTTTTTAAGATTTTTTATTTATTTGCGAGAGAGACAATGAGAGACAGAGAGTATGAGAGGGAGAAGCAGACTCCCTGCTGAGCAGGGAGCCTGATGTGGGACTCGATCCCGGGACTCCAGGATCATTACCTGAGCCGAAGGCAGTCGCTTAACCAACTGAGCCACCCAGGCGCCCCAAGAATTTTAATATTCTGAAGGCAGGTTGTTAGATTCAAATGGTTTGGGTTCAAATTTGTAGGTGGTCTGTGACTACCACATCCTCAGGCATACTACTCTGGATGCTAAATTGAGTTTAAAGGAAAATGCTTGAGTTACAGCTATCAAAATTATCAAAGGTTAGCTCTCTGCCATTAAGTTAGAATAGCTCACCCATTCTGGCCTCTATTAAATTTATTTCACTGCATGATAAGAGACAGTAACTGGCAAGTTGGATTGCTTCTCTGTAGGTCGTCTCTTTCAGAGAGCTAGGGGCTCTAGCATTAAAATTTGAAGACCTTTGGATTTGTCTACCAAAATATCGACCCAGGCAAGGATCTGTATTGTGTATTTAGGGATAGCTATGATTTAGAGCATTGATACGAGGTGATAGAGCAATTAATAGACATTGACTCCTTAGCTCAGTTTAGAGCATGGAAACTTTAGGGAGGCCAAGGGAATGGACATGAATTCCTTCTGGGACTCTCACTCTGCCCTGTTCTGTGGCCAAAGATCTCACCTCAGACCAAAGCCAAGTATCTTGAAGAAGAATATATAATTCTTCATTTGGGACATGGGACTAAAAACATGTGAATGTACCTGGGCGCAAATCCACAACCAATACTACGGAAGGTGTGCTGTGTTGACAGAGGGAGGTTTATATGAGTTCTGACGTCTAGATGTCTCCTTGAGCTCATGGTCCATTTCTCGCTGCAAACCCACCATCATAAACAATATAGCTAAATGGAGAATTACGGTTGCTAATGTTAACATATTTCCCAAAGGAGTGCTTTTCATCTCACAGAGGTGACAAAAACCACTTGCACTTTTTTCATTTTTTTTAAAATTTAAAAATTTTTAATTTTGCAAGGTGTTTTTCCCCCCCTTTTGTTTTATTATGTTAACCACCATACATTACATAATTAGTTTTTGATGGTAGGGTTCCATGATTCATTGTTTGTATATAACACCCAGTGCTTTACTTAAAATTACTTATCAAAGTAAACATTGATGTTGTCTATCAAAGGTTCTGGTCATTGAGTTTTCGTTTGGTGTTTTCTGTGTCTGGTGGGGCAGTAATGCTTTAAAAAGAAATTGGGGTTATATGCTTTCAACTACTGAGTAGAATGGGAACCTGCTCTTAAATGAAGAAATAATGCATTACCTTTGGTGAAATGCAAGTCTGATAGTTCAAAGCAGACCACCTCAGATGTCCCAGCATAAGACTTCAGAGCTTCTCTAGTCCTGTTAAACTGATGTAATGTTTAAATGACCTCTCTAGGGCATTTCGGTTTAATTAGATGCCAGGAATTGCAAAGAAGTCTAAAAGAACCACTGTAGTATTCTTTGGTCTGCCTGTGAGTTAACTCCCCATTAGCAGCCTGTTGTGGAATGTGACATAGCTCTTTCCTTTTCTATTTACAGAATGCTATGAACCTACCCCCGGACAAAGCCAGGTTACTGCGGCAATATGATAATGAGAAAAAGTGGGAACTGATTTGCGATCAGGTAAGACACAGTGATGCTTTCATCAAAAAATAATGAAAGGAGAGAATCAGATTTCCTCCCTAAATAATAGTAGACTTTTTCCAGGATACCTGTGCGTGGATTTCTGTTTTGGGCCTTCCTGTTTCTTAGTACAAAAGGTAAAGCTAGAAAGTGACTTCTTTTATTTGTGCATTATTTTAATTCTCTCCTTTATTTTCAAGCATTTAGTTATTAGATTTTCTGGGAAATCTGGTCAGGTGGGCAAACCAAATTCAGATCTGTTTTGTTTTTTTGTTTTGTTTTGAGACAGCGTGAGTTTGGGGGGGGAGGGAAGGATAGAGGGAGGAGAGGGGGGGAGAGAAAGAATCCTAAGCAGGTTCCATGCCTGGTGTGGAGCCTGACGTGGGGCTCGATCCCATGACTCTGAGATCATGACCTGAGCTGTAATCAAGAGTCGGACGCTTAGCCAACTGAGCCACCCAGGCGCCCGTTTTTCTGTTTTATATAGCAGTTTATGCTCCTTGAATAATGCAGGTCCTCTAGTTTAATTGGCTTTCCTATTCATGTATATTGTTGTATATTCATTCAAGAAGGTGGATTGTTTATAAAGAAACATCACTTGGGCTGATAAATTATTTCAGATTTTAGCAATTCTTCAGGTGTTTTCATTTTATCATTAACTCTTAACTCAGATTCTTCAGAGAGATATAAAATAAAAGTGAAATTCCGCATTTTGTTTCTGTCTGCTCTTCTAATTCTTTACCTTAGAGGTCCACTGGTAAGACTTTGAAGTATTTCCTTTCAACTTTTGAAATGTTTTTGTCTTAAAAGTTTTGTCTTAGAAACCCAAAATATGTGGATGTACACACCCTCTATTCTGTGTCTTGGTACATTCATCATTTCTACCCTATTCTTTCAAATGGTATGGAGTATTCCATTGTATTGATAGTAATTTCTTTGGCACTTTGTTGCAGGTTGGTGTGGGCTAGTTGCTGTATTCCTAGGGTCAGTCTGTGGCTACCAGGCTCTGTATGTTAGCTTTTTATGTTGGGCCATGAGCTTCAGGGTGCCTGTGTCTCCTCCACCTCCCACCACCCTGAACATTTCTGGTGAGTGTTCTAATTCCTCCTAAGACAGCTCCCACAGGTTTTTCCTGTGGGGACAGCATGTATCAGAGAAGCAGAGGGGTTTTTTATTGCCCACAGGTAGAACTATTACCCTAAGAAATTCATGCCTGCAGTTGACACGGAGCTTCTAAAGCGTTCATTGTGTGTGGTTTCTCCTTAGCTCCTGAACTCAAACAGTAATGAAATGATGCTAAAAATCCTCCCCTCTTTCTCATGCTATATTTGAGTATCAGGAGTAGATAGAAACTGAAGAGGAAGCTTATTGCTTATGTGACCATGATGCAAAAGCGTAAAAATCTTGCTGACACCTAGACTCTCCTTCCTTGAGAGTTAATTTTTCATGAGTGTTGTCTAAACCTATTACTGCGAGGAAAATGATTTTACAATGATGATGAACAGAGATGATAGGGATAGTTAATATAAAGGAAAGGTAATCGCACAAATGAGGGAGGTCCAACGGGTGTGAAAATTCTAGTATGACAGGTTATGACAGTAACACAGACGAAAGCAGCGTCAGTGGCCATTTTGTTAGCCCTGTGAGGAAGAGCTGAACCTCCCTCAGACCTGTGGGATTTACAGGCCATCAGGCTGCTCTGCTCCTTTCTAGCTTTATTGAATTGTTAATTAAAAAAAAAAAATTATTTTTTAAGATTTGATTTATTTGAAGCGATTGAGTGAGCGAGAGCACGAGTGGGGTGAAGGGTAGAGGGGGGAGCGGACTCCGCGATGAGCAGGGAGCCCGATGCAGGACTTGATCCCAGGACCCTGGGATCATGACCTGAGCCGAAGGCAGACACTTAACCGACTGAGCCCCCCAGGTGCCCCAAGTTAATTTTTGCCTCTCTAGTAGCCAGAGGGCAGATTGCTGCTGATGGAGGATTTCTAACAGCTGGACTCTTCCCTCAGCCCAACAGGGGCTTCATAGGGTTGATGGTGGGTCTAGAGGATCTTGGGGCTGGGAGGGGAGCAAATTAGCTAATTATGTTCCTCATTTTCAGATCCCGAGTTCAGCTTATTATTGCCCTTAAATGTTAATGTGCCACGACATGGAGAATTTAGCCACTGTATCTGTTCCTTTCTGGGCGTTACTTTAACACGTGTCGAAAGCTCCAGGCTGGAGTGCCCTCAGTTCAGAGATGTTCTGGGTGATTTGTTAATAAGAGTGACAAATAATTATTATTGCCAGTGGCCAGCATTTACTAAGTAGATTTTTCTTTTTTTTTTTTAAAGATTTTATTTATTTATTCATGAGAGACAGGGGGAGAGAGAGACAGGCAGAGGCAGAGGGAGAAGCAGGCTCCCTGCTCAGAGCTGGATGCGGGACTCCATCCCAGGACTCCGGGATCATGACCTGAGCCGAAAGCAGACGCTTAACCGTCTGAGTCACCCAGGCGCCCACTAAGTAGATTTTTCTTAATAAGAGCTTTGTGTTGAATTTTTAAAGCAGTCCTTTGTGTTTGTAGCCCCATTGGACAGATGGAGAAAGTCATTGCTGAAGGTGACAGAGCTGTGACAGAGTTGTCCACTGGTCAGGTGGCCTACATAGTCTGATGGTGGAAAACATGCACATGCCGGGGGCTGTCTGCTTACGCACTGCTCTCTGCTCTCTTCCTCACACAGTGCTCAAGTGTGTTAATGAGCGACCAGAAATAAGGAGAAAATACAGTCTGTCTCTGTTTCTCTGGCTTGTGATCGGATAGGCTTTCCTGAGAGGGAGAGGAGGCCGGGAGCTATAATGTAGGCATGGAGCCTCACCTGCCCGCATTCTCACTATGGTGACCTGTCATGTTTGATGAGTCAGTGGTCAGTTCGAGAACTGTAGCCAGCATATGTCGCATATGGGAGGCCCATTGGTGTTTCATACACATAAATACCATTTCTCATCTGTGTGTATTTGTGAGGGGAAAGGTTAAAAAAAAAAAAAAAAAAAAAAGCATGAGCCGAAAGCATTCATAGTGTACTATTCATATGGTAAGTGTAATGTATTGGTGCTTATTGATGGAATGTTTATCTTGTTATCTACATGGACCTTGTCATATATTTGGTACCTAATCTCTATCTATCTATGGTACCTAACCTGATAGTTCCTCAAAGTATATTTGCTTTTAAAATTCTAATTATATGAAATATCCCAAACAGAAAAATCCATAAAGAAAGTAGATTAGTGGTTGCTGTGAACTGGGGGGGGAGTGACTGCTAAATGAGTGTGCATGGTGTTTGGCTTGGCTTTGTTTTGGTGTGATGGAAATTACACCAAAGAACTTAGTGGTAGGAATTAGAGAGTGGTGATGGTTGCATAGCCTTGTGAATAGAATAAAATTGTATACCTCTTTCAGAGTGTGAATTTCATGGCATAGGAATTATATCCCCAAAATTGCTTTTGCAACAACCAGAGATAGGTTGAAAAGAGGGGAGGAGAATTTAAGAGAGATAACAATGTTTGTGTGGATCTTTTTGGATTCCAATATGAACAAACTAAAAATACTTTTTTTTAGGGCGCCTGGGTGGCTCAGTTGGTTAAGCAACTGCCTTCGGCTCAGGTCATGATCCTGGAGTCCCGGGATCGAGTCCCGCATTGGACTCCCTGCTCAGCGGGGAGTCTGCTTCTCCCTCTGATCCTCCCCCTCTCATGTGCTCTCTCTCATTCTCTCTCAAATAAATAAATAAAATCTTAAAAAAAAAAAATACTTTTTTTTAGAAAATTGGAGAAATTCCTCCAAAGAAATTAGTGGATGGTTCTAAGAAATTATTGACTTGGTTAGGTTTGATTTTGGCATTGTAGTTGTATAAGAATCTGTCTTTTTAAAAAAATTTATTTTGTTATTTTTTTATGTTCAATTAGCCAAGACATAGTATCTTTATTTTTAAAGCAATGTGTACTGACATAGGGATAGAATATGACTGGACTATGGCTGTCTTCATCAAAAGAAAACAGAAAAAGGGATAGATAAAGGAAATGTGGAAAATCTTGATGATTGTTGAATCTTACCAGTGGGATAATGTTGGGGTCTATTATAGTATACTCTCAACTTTTGTGTATTTTTGAAAATTTACAATATAAAATTAAAAAATAAAGTATTTGCTACAGCTACATAATCTTCATTTTTTTCTTCAGCTGTAAAATGTAGTTAATATTAACTTTTTTTTAAAGGGTTATCTGGCCGGCTCAGTCAGTATCAGGGTCCTGAGTTCAAGCCCCACATTGGGTGTGGAGCCTACTTAAAAAAAAAAAAAAGACACAACTAACATTTTAAAATTATTTTGAGGTTTGGAGGCAATACCATGTAAAGTTCATGGACTAACATTTGGCACGTAGTAGGAGCTTCATAAATGGTGTGGCTGCTTCTGCTCCTTAAGGGCCCAGATATTAAATATTAATTTTTTATTTTTTATCTTTATTATTATGTTCAGTTAGCCCACAGAATGGGAGAAGGTATTTGCAAATGATATTACCGATAAAGGGCTGGTACCCAAGATCTATAAAGAACTTATCAGAGGCGCCAGGGTGGCTGAGTCGTTGGGCGTCTGCCTTCGGCTCAGGTCATGATCCCAGAGTCCTGGGATCGAGCCCCGCGTCGGGCTCCCTGCTCTGCGGGAAGCCTGCTTCTCCCTCTCCCACTCCCCCTGCTTGTGTTCCCTCTCTCGCTGTGTCTCTCTGTCAAATAAATAAAATCTAAAAAAAAAAAAAAAAAAAAAAAGAACTTATCAAACTCAACACCCAAAAAACAATCCAGTCAAGAAATGGACAGAAGACATGAACAGACACTTCTCCAAAGGAGACATACAGATGGCTACCAGATATGAAATATTGGTGCCATTATTTTATCATTAATTTGTCTTCAAAAGATTCAGGGAAATTTACTGTATTGAATCTATCATCATATTTTACCTAAA